GTATATGTGGCCAGTTGGGAAGGACTTGTATTTTTTGTCAGGTATCCTGTCCCAAAGCCCTGCTTCTCAAAAACAACCCCACCCATACACCCAAACTATCTGAAACTCAGAAGAGCAGCTGACACTGGAGTTCAGCTGAGAACCCAACTTTTTCATTTGCTTTTGCTCTGTTTTATTTACTGTCATTGAAGTTTTCAGTTTAGTTTCAGCTGACATGCTAATGTCAATTTTCTTTATTATTGTCCTTTTTGTAAGCTACAAACAGCTAAGTACCTCTTGTTCATGCTAACTCTAAGGTCAACCTAAATATTTCTCAGCAATGATTTTAAAAGATTATTTTAAAGTAAATTTTATCTACTTATTTTACAAAGGTGGAGATCTTGAAGACATGGGAAATCAATGACATTTGTCATTTACAATTTGTGAAATAACAAACTGCAAAATTTGAGCCCCTTACTTTTCTCTCACAGGCTACCCATCTCACTGCCACCGATTGTCACATTCTCTCTCAAACTAGATTATTAAACTAGAGATATACTACTGCTATGCAAATGTTTTTCTGACCTGAGTTATAAATAAATTAGATTTAGTCTGATAAAAACGAAGGCCTGATCAATAACTTCAGGCAAAGGTCTACTGCAAAACAACTGCAAAAACAATTTCCCCAAACTTATAAATAAACTAGTTTCCCACTTTGTTTCAAAAAGTACCACTTTCCTTTGCTTTTCAGTGGAGGCTACAAAAGATCCACTTCATCATTCTGGTGGTGTATCCCATCCAAAAATCTGAATTATAAAATATTGAAAGAAAATGCTTTAACATTCAGTTGATAGATGTATGTAACTTACTATTCTGTGAAAGATTATTCATAGTTTCCTATTCCCTTATTTGGCTTCAAATGGAAATATTTCCTTTGGTCCTTTTTAATAACAAGTCATCTACTGCGTTCTCTTTTAATCAAATAATGTTACCCGTTTCCCAGTAATGCATGCATTATTAATATTTTAAAGAGGGAGGAAAAACCCAAATGCAGCTGAGGTTCCTTAGTAACTCTGTTTCTTTTAGGTAGTCTACCAAAAGGATTTTCTAGAAAAAGAGAATGAAAGGAAATAAATGCAGAAGAAATGAAGCTTAGATTATCGGATTTTAAATCCAAAAAGAACTAATGCCATCACATAGCAAAGGACAAGAGCTTCTCTTAAACTGCATTTGTGAAGCAAAATCACTTTGATAATCCCCAGTATGAAAATTTGCTGGATCTATTATTAGTAATGGAAGTAACCTCAGTCTAACACCTGTCCCACACTAGGCTGGGCAAAATTCAGAATGCCACAAATCCACCACAGTCCCTACCAACAGGGAAGTTTCAGTGCTACTCTTCAGCCTGCAAAATACAACTGCAATTTATTAGTGAAACAGTGATTCTCAGAATCACTAATGACTCTTTTAATCTATTAAAAAAAGAAAAAAAAAAAAGAAGACATGAAAGAAGTGCTATTATATGAAAATAGATTGAAATATTTTGAAAACCTTCAGAAAATACAAAATTTCTTTCAGGTCAGAAAAAAAATTTAGAAGAAGGATTTGAAGAAAAAAAGGAGCTGATAATCTATTTTTCAAAGAATGCAGTAACTTTTGATCATGTAGCTTGAAATTTTCATGTTCTATTGTGCAAATAAATTCTCCATTCACTTCCCACTTTCTTTAAAAAGCATCTAAAATGGTCTCTGAATTGTGAATGAGAATGATGCTAAATGATGAAAATGGAGATACAATGGGACACCAGCCATTTCCTAAGCATCATGTAATAGAATCATAGAATGCTTTTGGGTTGGAAGGGACCTTGAGAGATCATCGAGCCCAACCCCCCTGCAGTAAGCAGGGATTGAACCTGTGAACTTGGCGTTATTAGCACCATGCTCTAATAGATGAAAAGCTCTAAAAATTTAACTCCATACAGCCAACCATAGAATTAATAAATATTCATTTTTTAAGGATTAAAAAATAGATCTACACCATCCAGAATAAAAAAATTACAAGCAGAAGAGAGATTATAATAGCCCACACTATTTAAGTCAAGTCAGTCTATCAATAGTGAGTCATAACTGATTGCATCTGGTTTCAGTTTTTAAATGTGAAGATAAAAATCTCTTAAGTGTCCATTTCTCTTTGACGTTCAAGAGAGGCTAAACTAAAGAAAATCTACAGTGAATATCACAAGGAAAGGATCCAAGGGAAACTGTTTGACCTCTCTTCATTCTGATTTAAGTTTGATGATGCACTATACATGATGAGGGTACCACTATCTCACAACCCATCAGCAGGTAATTCATGAGGTCAAAGAAAGGAAAAGGCCATAGAATCATGCATAATTTAGCAATTTCATCAATAAACAATTATTCAGATAATAAAAAAGAGCACTGAAAGAGGCATATGGAGAAGGAGAAAGGGAACAAAAATACCACCAATACCATCTTGCAAGCAAAATTCGACTTTGTGTGCCTACAGGAAACTAGGTAAATAATTCCCCAGTTTGCATCAACAACCATGATAATTATGCATGCAAATACAGACATATATTTATACTTTGTACATTACACTTGATCCACTTGGGTAGGTGATGATACCACAAAAATAAATAAGGTAAATAAATAAGAAAAAAGAACAAGAAGGAAAAAACAGTAAATAATTATTCAATCACCTTGGGCTTCACAAACTTAGCTTTAGTAACATAACAGTCAACATTAAAGGCACAAAAGCAAAACCTCTGAAGAGTAAAACTCTTCACAGAAACATGTAGCTACAATGGTCTAATCAGACCTGACAGTTATTCTTATTCTTGAATTCTGTAATATTCACAAAGAATTTCTCCCTATTGTGTGTGGTAGTCTACCAGATTTTTTTTTTTTATTGTAGTGTGGTAAAACTAATACTTCTAGAAGCTATTACTAGCAATTCACATTTCAAATTACTGGAGAACAGAAAAGCAGAAATTGTTTTTGATCACCCCATGGTCACATATTTTAATTTAATTTTAAGAAAAACTGTCATTCCAAATAGATTTCTAGTAACACTCTAATGTATAATACTAGAAAGAAATATTAGTATGCAACATCCTACAACATCTAGAAAGATTTTAATGTATTGTTTATGTCTATAAGCATTCATTTTTAAACATCAGACACTAACTATGAATAAACAAAAATTAAATACAGAATTTTTTGAACTTGTTTTAACTTTTATACATGTTAACTATGATGCATCTATTCCAGAAAAACTTATCACTGCAGATCTTGCAAGTGCAAAGTCTCATCATGCTAGATATTAAACAAGATAAGAGGATAATCAAGGAGAGTAGGGATGGAGTCAAATGCTTTACTGAGTTAACTGCTCTTAGCTGTGATACTCTGAGTTTCCTTTCCACAGCATTTTTTTTTTCAACCCAAATATCATAAGGTGACAAGTGTAGGAATTTTTACAATGTAATGTGATATTACAAATGCAAAAATTTAGATACCAGAAACAAAGCTAGAATTCTAGTCACTGCCTATCACATTGGCTAAACATACACTGCATCGGTATGCAAGAACAGATATTTTTACAGAAATTGCATATAGCAATGTGTTAAGTACTCAGAGAAAATTAAATACAATTCTTTGAGACAAAGCAATGACAACATTTTTTACTTTCAACTCAATAGCACATAAACGAAAAAAATCACTTAACTCTAGGAGTACCAAAAAAGGTCAGTTATAAAGTTAAATGGACCAATGTAACTCTTTCATACTAATTTTATATCAATTAGATTATTTAATTTTGATTTTATTCTGTACTATCTAGGGATTATTCCACATACATTAGGTAATTACAGGCACATATCAGCATGTGTTAGGTCTATTGTTTTGTGAAGGTCCCTCTCACCTTTTCCTTTCGCACTTTTTCAAGAGGAAAATTGATAACATTTTACATCTAAACCTAAATTGAAATTGCACATACAATTCCTGTACCACTGGGATTATGCATTGAAGTGCCATTTGTGCCTTTAGAAATCTTTCCACTGTCTGAAACCACATGACTGCTTGCATGCTGAATAAGACCTCAACTTGCCGCCTTTTTCTCTTTACTGAGACAAAGACATCTGTTTTGCTTCATCCTTTTGCTGTCTTCACCATACTATGCCAAACTTGGGGGTAGAATTTAGTACATGGTTAGGGCCTGACAATTTTTAAATTTTGGTCACATAGATTCACATTTCAGACTCCAAGTTTAGGTGAGAGCCTGTTCTTAAGCCCATTCTTAGAGCTTAGAACACAAAACTATGATCTATTATTTATGCATTTTTACCTGCCTCTTCAAGCAGGTACAGTGTAATATATTTAAGTGGAAGCAAGTAACTTCAACTTTTTTCTCAAATTTCAGTTCTGAGAGTAGTTCTCACACACTGCAACAGATGGACCTTGCACAATGGCTTTCCCCTACCACATGAGTGACAGGGAATAGGAAATCTTATGAAGAGGCATAGAAGGAAGATCAGGAAGAATGTGACACCTAGTTAGCAGTCACAAGCATTTGGTAGCCATCTTAGAATTTTTATTTCCAGGGTGGTGCAGGTGACATATAATTAGCATCACTGTAAGCATTTATATTTTGGGGAAAGGGGAGTGTAGTCTCTTCTATCCTTCTATAACAAATACGGTTGAGGTCTTTTGCCTATAAATTCCACTTCTCTGTCCTTCATTTTGCACACAACACAATTATCTCTTGACACTAACAAATAAAGAACAATCTATAACTCATCAAAATTAAATGTGGCATTCTATTCTTAAAAACTCTGGCTAGTTTTGCACAACCAAGGTAATTATATTATTTAGGAGAATAAAATGTGTGTAGAATATATAAAAACGAAGATAAGTTACAAATTTTTCTTGCATGTTGGACTTTCATTAGAGGTCTGAGAAACCTGTAAAAAGAACCCAAGTGGTATGAGAAGTGGTATCTTTTCACATGGAATCAATCTGTTCTTGAATGCTGATTGCTTGTTTGTAGTCCTCTACAGCCTCTTTATTGAAACCCAGTTTACCACGAATATCGGCTCTAAATTTGTACATCAAGGCATTATTAGGCTGAATTGACAATGCTGTAAAAGTAAGAAATAGAATGTTACGCTTTTTCTTTTTTTTAACATTATCACGATTATGAAGAGAAGCATCATCCAAAAACTTTTGTCAGTGCTCAAATTCTTCTCCAGACATGCTTTCACAAGAGAAAACATATTACATATATTAACTTTACATCAAGAGGTAGGCAACTTTGTTATGTTATCTGTACTTCAGATTTTTTTTCTCTTTTTGATGCCATTTATGAATCCCACTTTAATTTTGCCCTGACAGCAGAAACTATGCTTTCCTCTGAAACGCAAGCAAAATCTTAGAGAACAAAACTACCACCGTCCAACTTCTGGAACATGGCAATGAACCCAGTATCTTCTTCAGTTTCTCCATTGTATAAAAAGGATTTAAGTACTTGTTGGAAAGCTTAATGTGCTGTTTTAAAATTCTGCTTTAGAGAGAAAAATTTCGGAAAAAAGAAATCAATCAGCTCCCTGATCAAGTCAGTTTTTCACCATCTAACACTATGAAAATATTAGTCATGAAAGCCATGAAGTAAAACCACTATTTTGACAAATTCCACTGTAAAAGTAAATTAATTTATTAAAAAAAAAAAAATCTAAAGACAGTTATCCTTTCAGGAAAGATCATTACCTGTGCAATCAAGCGTTGTTAAATCAAAGTCACATTGCTAAATTTTGTTTCAACAAAATTAATACAAACTAAAGATAGCTTTAGTTACTGGAAGAAGTTTGCCTGTGT